GGGAATCATTTTATCCTTTGGTGGGAGGAGAGAGGGCAGGTGCTAAGCTGAAATCCTACCACAAAGAGCAAGACATCAGTAGAAAAAGCAGTTGTTCTTTCCATTTCTAAATTCTTTCAGTCAGCTTCCACCTGAACCATCTTATCCAATTGCCTCCCTAAATCTGGACCTCAGTGAAGAACAAAAGCAAAGATACAAATTTAGGGGAGGGAATGTAACCTTACATGCCTTCCTTTGTCATGAAATAAGCTATTTCCAAAGCTTCATGATGCATTTTTGTCTATGTAAGTATATTTGCTGCAGCTTCATTGACATTATCTATCCATACAAACAGCCACCAAGTCAGCATCCTTCAAATCTTTCAGAGAACCTACAAGATAGAAAACCTGGAGTCTGTCTAATCACAAGGAGAGAAGAAATATTCAGGAGTTGAAGGTGGGAAAGAGGTTGATGGACACTCATTTGGAAAAAAGTTAAAGGAGATAATGACTAAAATTATCCAAAAGGAGAGTTAGAGAAAGCTGAGAAGTTCAAGGGAAATACTACTGTTGTGTAGTATGACAAGAAAGTCATTGGAAGAAGAAATAACAGATTTATAACATTCTTCCTCTTTTTACTATAAAGGATCATCTATATTTCTTATTAAAAAAGCCTAAATACCATCAAATATGTGAAGTGTTTGAAGATGGAGGGAGGGAGACCAACTCAGAGTGTCCATCACCAATTTGAGAGAGAAACTTGTTGTGGGAAGTGACCTTGCTTGGTCAGTTAGAAGAAGAGATGAAGGGAACAGTGGCTTGAAGAAGGGAGTGAAGTGACCTTGTTTGGTCAGTTTGAAGAGATGAAGGGAACAGTGGCTTGAAGAAGGGAGTTGGCATTTGGAATAGAAAAAGAATGAATATAAGTGGTTTAGTTCTCTCTGCACATTACTTTTAAGAATCTTCTGGAATGTTGCATTTCACTCTGATCACTTAAAACTAGAAAGACTTCCAGACATCCATGACCTAGATCATCAACTTTATTTGCACACTCTTACAGTTACTCTTATCTGTAAGATTACTGAAATGGCAGATCCAGGAGATTGGCTTTGATTTGATTGTTCTTCAAAACTGCAGCAGTTGGGTTTTTGATCATATTTTTTCTCCAAAATCTCTGGTTTATTTGAAATTTTGACCATTCACAAAGGTAATGCCTTGAAACAAATATTTTTGTTTGACAGACTGACTAATTATGAATTTAATGTTACATTAAATCCCTGAATTAAGGCAAAGGAGCTTTGAGGATGCAAATAGAGTTGGGTATACAAGTGGGACAATACCAAGGGCTTTATTTCCCATTATTTCTATTAGAATTAAACATTGAAGTACTGTGAGAAGCTGGACATAGGATTGCTGCAGGATAAAAAGCACGCTGTGTTAGCCTGCAGGACACATTATATTTACATGAGCAGAATTCAATTCCTAACCACTGTCAGTGACTGTGCCACGTTTCTTGTGGTCGACCTGTCTTAGAAAAAAACACTCTAGCAGAATCTCACTATAAACTCCTGAAAGAAGCAGGATTCTGCACACTATTTCCCTAATGTCCTTGTTTCTTCCAGGTATTCTAGATTGCATCTGCTGTCTTTTAGGCAACATTACAGTTATGAAAAACATGATGAATAAGATTACAGTTTCCAGAGGACTGTTTAAGCACAAAACCTCTATTTCCATCTTAGTCTCCATATGTTTTCTGTTGAACAAGCTTTCACTGAGCACATTTTATGCTCCTTCTATACCAGTGTTACAGTTGGGGCAATTTCCAATTATTACTCATTAAGATCAGACTATTAGAGTCCTCAGTATTAGTATGAATGCAAAACAAAATGGTTTGCCAACTTCTCACCAAGTCTTACCCTGAACCCCTGAGGTTTGGGAGCCGTGTTAGAATTTGACCAAGGTAAACCAGCTTAATTGTTAATTATCTTCGTGAAACAGATAAAGAAACAAATGAATATTCACACAGAGCAGACTGTTGAATCAATTCAAGAGACAGAAACATTTTAATTAAAACGAGGTTGCAAAAAGACAGACTCAATAAATTACTACATTCAAATGAGTAGAATGCTAACTAAACACAACAAATAACCAATCTGATTTATGAGACTGACACCAGCAAGAACCATTTTGTGACAGTCTTTTGTTTAGAGGATTTCAGAGGGACTGAGGAGCTAATCAGCACAGCTTTCAAGTCCCACCAGTAAAAACCCATTGAAATCCTCAATATTTATATTACCTTCACCAAGACATCCATTTAAAAATGTCTTTATGTATTACCAAGTAGAGCATGTAGTGAAATCCCTGCATTCATCTGAAGCCAGTACTACCACTTAAATACTTATAAAATGTTACTACTCTTACGCATAATTGTGGATCTCACCATTCTAACCACCCCTGGCTTTAGGAAGGCAAAATTGTTCTAGGTACTAGTTAGAAGGGATTTTAAAGCTATATTCCAAGCAGTTTTTGAATAAATACTTTTTAATCAGGATCCTTTTCAATGACATCTGTCAGCTATTATTAGGAAATAATCGAAACAGTGTTAGGAGTACCTGCACATACACACAAAAAATATAAATAAAAATCATAAATGGAGATATTCTTAAAAAAAACAAAGGCAAAAATAAAAAATACAAACTCCTTCCTCTTTGTGTGTTGAGCTTGGTATTATTTGTTACCTAGAAGAAGGCTGCTGTTGTCTGTAGCTTGTAATACATATAAATTGCTCATCAATGGGTTGCAGATGAGTCATGTTGTTCACAGTGATATCTCACTTTAAGATCTTTCAAATTTTCCTCCTTTGGGTGGTTTTTCCACTGGAAGCTGGGGCATAGAACTCTGGATGTGAATGGCAGAGGAGAACTACTTTTCTTCAACGTGGTCTTTGTTCTTATGGGCAAATTGTCTACTTGTTTGCCACTGCAGAGTGCCTCATGCTTAGGTCAGTTGGGTGAATACAGCACGATACAGGTTTTGCCAGTATGACTCAACTGTCTCATAAGGGACTATATTAGCTATAATTGATAGCAGAAAATGTCATCACTGATTCATCATTCCTTTGCAAAATCAGCAAGATTAATTAGAGGTCATACACTCTTTCTAAAACAGGTATTAATTTTCAATCTAAAAATCATGGAGAGGAGCTTTATTGATATTCTGCTCATTTACCTTTTTTTCTGCATTCTAGCTTTTCCAAATAACAATGTAATCACCACTCACCTTTTTTTCCCCCCTTCTTTTTTTCCTGCTATTAATTGATACCCACACATCTTATTCTTTCATACATCCTCCATTTCTCTGATGTTATTAAATGCTCATCTCCTCATTTACAGTTTACCTTTCCCATAAGGTTCAAAGCACTTTCACTGAAGATATTCTACTCTAAGCCCACTCCTAGCTTCTTCACTTTGATGGCTCTCTCAAAGAACAACAGGAGAATTCTGGTGTTCTTGGAGAGCTACTGTGGCTCTACACAAGTGGTCATTACACTTTCCACTAGCTGAAGCTGTCCTTGACCATAAGCAGGGAGAAGATAGGTCCTTCTTGGGGCCAAACAGCTAAGTATCAGGGACAAAACTGGAAAAAAAGAGAGTTCCAGGAAAGGAGCTGGTTCTTGGGGATGCTGAAAGTTTGCAAGGTCCAAAGAGGCCTATATGGGATGACAGAATGAGGTCTGACCTAATTCCTTTTCTGGATATAGGGATAGAGCCACAAATGTACTTAGTTGCCTAACAACCAACATAGATGCCCACAGGTCCTTGGAATCACTGGGAACTAAACATTTGGAAAAAAAATAATATATATAAATGTCAATAAAAGTAAGAGTACCCTAAATACCCTTGTAATCTGCACCTAACTCCTCAGTGCCTGGGCTTCTCAGTCTTAGTCAATAGCTGGTCTACATCAGAAAGCTAATTAGGCAGCACAGTCACCACTCAATTAAAATAGATACATATATTTATGTATATAAATGATACATGCTATAGAGACTCCTTGGGCTCTATTCAAACCAGCTCTTACAGGTGTAAAACTTAGCATCTAGTTATCTGCCTCGCTGTGAACAGTACTAGTTATAACACCTAAGTAGTTAGAGCAAGTAGTGTACGTATGATCAATAGTGATGGAGACACACCTCAGGCCATCTTGTTCTTCACATTTTATCTTATTTTATCTATTCTGGAATATCCCTTAAAGATCCCCCCTGTCCTCATGTATCCTGACTTCCTGCAGTTTGTTTTGTCCTGTCTCATTTTCACCAATTCACTGAGCCAAAAACACTAAGGAGGAAACCTTATTGCAGCTTTTCAATACTGAAAGAGGGGTTATAAGATGACACTATTTACCAGGGCTTGTAGTGATGGGACAAGGGGCAATGGTTTAAAACTGAAAGAGGGTAGGTTTAGATTAGATATAAGGATGAAATGATTTACTGTGAGGGTAGTGAGTCACTGGAACATGTTGCCCAGAGAAGTCATGGATGCTTCATCCCTGGAAGTGTTCAAGGTCAGGTTGGACAGGGCTTTGAGCAACCTGGTTTAGTGAAAGATGTCCCTGCCCATAGCAGGAGTTTGGACAAGATGGTCTTTAAATGTCCTTTCCAATCCAAACCAGTCTATGATTCTATGACTCTATGAAGAATTTCCTTTCAAACTTCTTCCATAAACAATGAGCTGGTGCCGCCAATGAAGTAAACAAATCAAGCTGATTCAAGAGCTATTTTTCCCCAATTTAAGGACTCAGTTCATCATGGCTTTAAACTATGAGACTGAGAGCAGGAAAAATAGAAGTTCATGGTTGGGAACAAGAAAAAAGGTATTTTTAAGCCACTTTCCCACCCATTCTTACTGAAATTAGCTTTGCCCAGCTCCTGAGTTTCTATGCCAGAAGACACACACACTGTTCTGTGCTGACTCTTTGCAGCAGTTGTCTGCTGAAGAGGTTCCCTTTGAGAGTTGCCAGTTTCTATCCATGCAGATATGCTTCAAGCCAGTGCTCCCCAGAATCCTTCAGTGAACTGCAAGAACAGAAAGTAAAAAATCAGGAGAGAATATTCAGGGGAGACAATATTCAACTTATTGGGAAGAAAACTGTAGTTTAGATGTAAAAAGAAGCAAATGGGAAAAAAAATGAATTAAAAAATGCATGGACATGTCATAGCATAGTCTGACTACAGGGAATGAGTAGGGAGAATTAAGGAAGAGAAAAAAACCTTTGAAACTTTGAAAAGTTTTGTAAATTAAAAATGCCTTTAGAAAAACCTAAATAAACTCTAGGTTTGATCTCTCCATGCATATTGATTTGAAGTGGTTGCCTCAATTGCATGCTATTACAGTGCAAAACTATCTTGTTAATTGATACTTACTGCAAAATATCTACAAAGGCTGTTGGTAAAGTCTTGCTTTTATACTCAATATCATGCTTATCACAAAGGGCTTTCACCAGAGGAGCTGCTTTCCAGTAGTTGTGTCGAGGCATTGTGGGGAAAAGGCTGCAGAATTGAATAAGAGAAAGTTATTGTGAGGCTTTGCTTGCACCACTCTCTGTTCCCTCTGTTCAAAATACTTCCCTGCCCTCCCCCAGAAGGAGAGCAAAGGGTCTCCTGAGGTGGTTTCATGTGAGACTACATCGCCTTTATAACTTTTAAATGCCCTATATTATTCCCATTCTGCTCCCCATAATCATACTCACTGGTGCTCAATTTGGAAGTTCAAGTGCCCGGTGAACCAGTCATTGAACAAAGATTGGTTCACATTGCATGTTGCATGGAGCTGGGAGGAAAAGAGACCAAAGAAATACAAAATTTAGCTTTTATTTTTCTGGAAGTCTGATAATTGAACCCCAACAATCATTACCCACCCTCATCTAGCATTGAAAGGCAAGTTAGAGTCAGCCATCATTGCCCTGAAGAGTTAAACCAAGTATAGATTGGAATGGGTTGTAGGGATATGGGTTAATTTAACTAGGTTTTTGCTCAGAATGAACAGCTTCTTCACTGGCATGTACACAACCCCAACTGTGATTCTTTTAGGGGGTTCTCCTTGTGTCTTTCACTTGGTTGGAAAGAAAAGATGCCCAATAAAGAAACAAAAAGCATTCTCCTGGCCTCCTCCAACCAGTACAAGTGGAGTCAGATGCAAAAGTATGAGCACTAATGTTTGTGTGCACAGGCTTTATGTCATCCAGTTTTAGTTTGAAATCTGCATCTGAGCTCATCACACTTTAGAGTCAATGGAGAAAACCAGACATTTTTATGGTGCCATTAACCTGATGTGATTTAGAGATCTATTTTAGAGTAAAATGAATCATGCTCTAGAAATGTCTCTTCCTCTCCAATGAATGTAGCAGGTGTTTAGATGTAGACATCCAGATTTGGTCTGATGAATACCAGGCTGGGTCTTTTTTGCTTAGTATAAGGAAAAATGCTTAGAACCCACTATATGGGATTATACTGCTGGAGCAGTATAGATGTGAGTAAAGTTGTATTTACACACACATTTGTATCAGAGCTAAATTTTGTCACATTTATCTTATCTGCAGTAAACCTGTAACCTGTAGGGTAAAAAATAAAGGTAACCAGTCTCACTTTGCTTCTCTTTAGTTGGCCTAAAAAGGAGATTGGCTGTTATGCCCTCAGTATATTTTAATAAAATGAAGGGGGAAGTGTTGTGAAAAATGTGTCAAAACTTTTCTGTGAAAAAAATAGGATTTTTTTTTTTTATTTAGATAACCTGTTTCCCAACTAAAGTTTTAAGTATTTTGACTACTACAAAAATGCATGCCTATTTGATGAACAGCATGGAGAAACCCCATTAACAGAGCATTAAAGCTAAGAGAACATTTTCTTTGTCCTGTAATTCAAAACTGTGGACCCACTCTTACAGAAGAAATGAGATTCTCACCTGAGTAGAAACCCAGTCTTTGTTCTTATCATAATCAATCTCCATTGGAATGTGATTCATCTGCGTCACCCAAATAAACCAGGTACTCTCTAGGTACCTGGGCAGATAAACACAGAAACACTTCTCATACCTCTAATCCCATCCAAATTTACCATTAAAACACTCTCCTGAGTCTCATCTAAAGTAAAACAGCACTTTTACATAATTCAGGATTTTCTATTCCATCCCTTTGCCTCCTAAATTTTGGAGTTTCTTTGGAGAACCACTCAATTTACAGTTGCAGGTGTCCCTGAGCAACCACCACCCCTACCCTGAGGTTATATTGTTTCTTCTTGGTTGACTATTTATTTCTGAGAAAATTGTAGTGAGTATGACTACTTCTCATTTATTTCCATTGAAGCTCAATATTGTTTACAAATATTAGTCAAGGGGACTCTGGGTGTGCTGCGTGTTACCTGGACAGCCAGTAGTACACCATGAAATTGTTAAATCCCATTAAAGGAATATACATGAGACAGACTCGGATGTTGAAAAACACAATCAATAACAGTTCCTGTAGGGAAAACAAACAAACAAACCAATAAAACAAAACAAAACAACAACAAAGATGAAAATAAGCCTTTGTTGATTAAGTCCCTCCTCTCCCCTTACTTGAACTACAGCATAAAAACATTCTTATTTATTGATGTCTATGAAGATTAAGCTCCACATCATCATTCTGTCTCAAGTTGAGTATCCCTAAAATATTCCCACAGCACTCCCTTTACCCTCAGTAACTAAAGACCAGCAAACACCTCTGCAATCACGCTCTGTCTAGGTCTGATAGTTTTCTATTAACTTTTATTCAGCTGCTAAGAGGCTAAAAAGCCTCTCCTAAAAAAAATTCTCCCTGGACCCTGCTTCATCCAGCCTGGAATCAGCCTTTTCTATCTTAAGCCCCACAATTGCCTGAGATGAAGGTTAATAAAGCCACAAAAAGCTGACATTTTTGGAAAGTTTTCTAAACAATACAAGAATTGCTTACCAACCACTTTTTCCTCTTGATTGCAAAGTAGAATATGGACAGCTGGAAGAACGGTATAAGTGCAAGTGGGGCCAATACTGAAGGGAAGAATGAAAACAGAGAGACATTTATAACTTCACTGCATCATAAATCTTACAGAATATTGGGGAAGAGGAGGGAACAGTTCCCCTAAAAGATTCTTCTTTGCAGTGGAATAGAAAAAAAATTGCTGCCTTCCATTTGCACTAACTTTTCATGTGTCCACATAATCTGTTGCTCTTTCCTTCTCACCACATCTTCACTTCTTTCCCGTTCGCCCCTCTCTAGTACCCAACATCCCATAATCCTGACAGAGACATAAGGGGCAATTCCTCCCCACGTGAACCCTCTTTAACATGAAGCAAGCTTCCTGAAGCTGTGACTTCAATAGGAGCATCTTTAAAAATCTTTATTTTGGGGAGGAGATGCAGTTATGATTTTGGGGTGAAGTTCCTACAGCACTGCAAGAAGCTGAGATACTCACAGATGAAATACTTATGCTGATAATTGTAAGGCATGAACTTCTTCTTCTTTTTTCCAAGCTGAAATATGAAAAGACATTGTAATGGGCCAGTTGGAGACCTGAGACTCTTCATAAGGAATTTCTTATTCCTGGCTAATGAACACATGGAGAATCACCTCTTAGTCTCTCTAATTCCACCCCTCTTGAAAAGCGGGTGCTGAAGTTCCAAAGCAATGGAGAGAAGCAGATCTCACTTGAGCCTTTGTATCCAGATATCAGCATTATGCCAATGTCAGAACAGAGCCATTTTTTAGAAGAATTCCAAAAACTGGCAGCAGGATACAAAAATGCTCAAAAATCACAAAAATGCTCACAAGTAATTTGAATTTTGTAGGGTAAGTTTCCAGTGATGGTAATGAAAATCCAATTCCACAGATTCACCACAAAGTGCTGAGACTATCAGTGCTCAAGGAGGAATGTGTCATTAACATGAAAACTAAGACAAGAAACATGACAGATGATGAATGGAGGATGTGTTTACTGTGAAAGCTACATCTGAATTTCTGTATCAGATGAGATAGGATGCAGACACTTCAAATTTTTGAGTAATAGAGGAGATAGTGGCCAGAAATGACACAAGTGTTTGGATGCCATCCTAAAATGACTGCAAGATCAAAGTACTAAATACTCTATAAAGACATCTGCCTTTTTGTATTGTTGAATATTTTGCCTTCAAGTACATGAAACAGCAAAAAAGATTAAATATTTACAAAAATAACAACTGAGTTTACTTCCTCAGAGTCTATTTTTTCACTATTTGCACAATAGGGTTCATAACATCATCTGCAAATTTTGTGCTTATGATTCTTCAAAGGACAAAATAATGACATAAAGCAAACTATTTCCAGAGCTCCCCTTTTACTGAGAAAAACATCTTGAACACCTCAAAGATGTCTTCACTGGATCAAAACCAGAACAAAACAAACGAACTGGACTAAATGAAAGCACTGAAATCCAGTTTGCCCATCCACAGTGTGCATGACTCTCTTCTGTTAAAAAGCAGGAAGATATGAGAACTCATTTCCTACATTTTCACTTCCATTAAACCCAGCCTAGCAGAGCCAGCCCACTCTAGATGCTCATGCTAATCTATAGCCATGAGAGATCTTTCAGGAGATGCTCCAGTTAATATAAAGCCATGAGAGATCTTTTGGAAATCCACTGACAAAATCCTCCCCAGTTGCAGCTAACAATTTTCTATGAATAAGTATTTTGTATAAATTATCTTTACAGGCATCTTTCTGAGATGACAGAACTGAAATTTTCCACATGACTCGGAGAGCTGCAATTTCTTTGTTTATTACCAACTAAAGGAGAAAGAGACACTATTTCATGAGGCTGGTTATCTAGTAAAGAGGCCATTTCATCACCCCATGAGTAAAAAGAAATGTCAGGGAAAGAAAAGGCAAAAGAGACCTTGATGTCCTGATGATACTAGAAATCATAAGGATGTAGGAAGAGTCTGCTCATGGTTTTTATTTTTATGAAAGCTATAAAATATATGAATAAGAAATAATTTGCTACTTTTGTGTTTTGTACATAGCAGCTATACTAGTCCTGACGGATTTAGGTGCCAAACAGCTCCCACAGCCAAAAGGACCCAGAGGGAACATCTGACTCACTATCTACAGGATCACTAAGAACATCTAACACTAACGCCAGTGGATTGACTCATTCTTTGGACGGCCTTCAAGATGCTTACCCTGCTCTTCTAGCAACACGGAGAACTTAAGTACTATTTTGAAAGCTTTGCTTCTCAGGAGCTGGTGCCTAAGCATCGTAATAACCAGTCAGTACATGAGACTATCAGACCTTGGAACACTTTGGAAATTACCCTGAGCTTATGCAGAAAGGTAGAACCTGGGTTATGATTATACCTCACTCTATAGATTTCTGTCTTTAAAAGCTTTGCTTCTCCAGATATCTCCATGCTCACCTCCATGGAAAGTGTCTTTCCCAAGCTGAACAGGAGAGGGTGCATGTTGAGGTCAGGGTCTTTGCGGAAGCAGTTGGGTTTGGCATGGTGCTGGTTGTGCAGATGATTCCACCAGCTGGCTGGTAACCCCTGCAGGAAAAGTTGAAGATCGAGGTTTCAAACAACAATATCAACAATGACATAACTTTTTATCCACCTATCATTGATGACTGCACTACATTTCCCTCACAGGCAATATTGCCTGGATGTGGGGACACTCCCATTCATTGCTTAGTCCAGATTAGCCCCAGAGAATATTCCCACCATGAGGCAATTACCTTCAGAACATTTATCACGACAATCTGCAGAAATCGATTCCATTTAGGCTTCCTGAAGACAGAGCAGTGTCCCAGATCATGTTGGAACCAGCCCATCTGGATCTGGAAGACAAAAGGAACAGAATCACAGTGGTGTTGCATTATTTTGCCTCGGGAGTCTCTATAACTTCGTAGTGTGAGTGCATCATCCTTCTAGTTATGAGGAACAAACACTGCCTGCTCTCCTACGTGCTCAATGCTGAGAACTTCCTTTCAGGCTACTGTCCACGAAAGCTGCTCAGTGCCACATACTGATTTTATTGTAGCAGCTAAAGGGAAAGCAGCAAAGCATCGTTACAAGTAATTTGACTGTTACAGCATGGAAGTCTTTTGCTCTCACCACAAATATATAATTTCCAAGGAATCAGCTAGCAAGTGTTAAGAATTTCCAAATCCACAGCTTCATTGCCTTTCATATTCCCATGGAAATACAAGAATGTTCTTTGAGGAATATCTGCCCTAGCAGATATTAGGCAAATAGGATCACAAAGTCCCGTTCCCTCCTTCCCTACATTGACCCTGACATAGATTGTGCCCTTCTATGATTCAGTTTACTAAACCAGCAGAAAACTGCTCAGGGCTAGTGAGTGTGGTTGGCTTTTAAAGGACCCAAGAAACACAAGAGCCATCAAACAGTAAACAGAAGGAACATGGAGCCAAAAGTCAAGTGGAGAATGAAATATTCCCTGTTCTGCTGGGGGAAGTGATTAGGTCAGCTCATCCCATCTTCTGAAACTGCCAACTCCATAACATCCCACCAACCCTAACGAGCAGCTTGTCAGCAAAAGGAGATTTGCTGGAAGTAACAAAAACTGTCATGTAGAACATGCTTGTTGTCTTCAGCCAGACTACAGGATCTAAGAAGTGGCAGGGAAGCAATGACTGAGATATGAACATTTCATTAATCCTCTCCATCTGGAAGAACCAAATGTCTACAGTGTGGAACAGCTGTCAGCAGTTTACCTGAGCAACGGTGAAGAACGCAATGCCAACCAGGAAAGGCACTAAGGATATCCCAAAGTACCAGACCGTGAGCCAGGATGCAGCATCCAATACCAGAAAGTGAAGGAAAATCAGGAGGAAAAAGATGTAATTTGGCCTCAGAAGTCCCATTTTCTCAATAGTGCAGCGCAGCTCACGGAAGTCTTCTAAAAGTGATTTCTGTGGGCAAGAAAGTGAGTATTAATGCACTGTCAACTTTGAAAATGTAACATAATAGATCCAGGAATCCCAAAGCAGCCATGGAAGTCAGTGGAGATATTCTATCAGAAGGATCTCTGCGAAAATGAGCATGAGATGAACAGATCTTGGGTTTGCTTTGACACTGGAAAACAAGTTGCTGACAGGTTCTGTTACTGAGACACCACAGTGGGAAGAACTGAGCAGAATCTGGGGCTCTGGGGCTGATTCCTCACACCCAGGTGTGGATTTAGTGGTTCTGAGACGTTGCATATTTCCATGCGTGACTACTGCCAGCTGCCTCCCCACCACCCAGCCTATGGCACAGCGTCAGGCGTGCTGCTTCAGAAATTATTTCTGCTAGCTCTCTTCTTTTCCTTCTCCTCCCACACTGAACCCCAAGCCATTCCCACAGTTGGATTCTAGGCCACTCACTTTTTTATTAGACTCAAAGCTGGGTTGATCTGGTGCCAACTCGCCAATCAGCAGACATTTCAAGTATTTTTTCACCAGGGACTTATCATTGTGAAATGCTACAAAGGCATCCTGCAAAACACACAAAGGAATGGGGTAAGAAAGGATATGTGACTAAACACCAGATGCTGAACCTCTACTTTTCCCAAGTCTTTGATATAATACATAATCCAGTTTCCTTTGTCCAGAGACCTGGGGGTTTTTATCCCTTTGGTTACTCCTGTAGTTCTTTCCCATCAGCTGGAGCTTGGCCCAAGGAAATTGGAGAAGTTTCAAGAAAATAGATTTCATAAAAGTACCTGGGTGAGGCTGGTAATAAACATGAAAGTGTTTGATGAAAAAAAAACTCTTTGCAGAGGGAAACATGTTCTTTCACCTGCTTGTTTCAGCATAGTCCTGCCCCACAAGGCTCCAGCCAGCAGCCCTACCCTATGGATGGGACCCAGGAGCAGGAAAACACATCAGTGAATGAGGTTTCTCTTTGCCATGCTTAAGAGAAAACAATGTTGTTTTTAAAATCCTACCTCTATTACACTAGGGTCTAAGAAATTATATGGTGAAGCTCCACACACAGCAGGACTAACTGGGTATCTCTTACACTTCCCTGTAGGTTTTCAGATTGACTGATGTTTTTGGGAACTGTGTAACACTAGTGACACAAACAGGTCTGTCCAAGAACCATTTAAAATACCGGTTTCAAAATCAAATATAAACTACGGAATAAAGGAGGATACTCCAGATAAATCAAAACTCTTCTTTAGCTCATGTCCTCCATGAATTTTCCAGAAGAAAGGTAAAGAGGTTGACCATACTCTTTAATCTTCCAGATAGAGTAGATACAACAAAACCTTCAGTGTCTGAGCTCTGAAAATCAATGTGAGTGATCATCACACACACACACAAAAAATCTGCAGACTTCAGGACAGGATTAAGTCCCTGGAAGAGGACAGAGGACTTTCCTTGAGCAGTCTGGCAGTCCCCTGGATTCTCTGTTCAGAGACAGTCTGTCTCTGAGCATTTTAGATTGGAAGTCAGAGCAAGGGGACTTTCTGGACAGATGAGCTTCCTACAGATATCTAGTGACCCTTTGTCACAGTGACAAATGAGTAACTCTGTCCAGACCCACAGGACTGGGGAAATCTTTCCATTATGGTTCTGTACCCCTCATCCTACAGTTTTTAACAGATTTTTATGTAGCTCCTTCTTGCCAGGAATTCTAAAACTGAGTCAAGCTGTAAGTAGCTATACTGCAGCTTTCCCCTGAATTCTCAGTTTAGAGACAGTCTGTTTCTGAGCACTTTAGAAGTCAGAGCAAGGGGACTTTATGGACAGATGAGCTTTCTAGAGATATCTAGTGACCCTTTGTCACAGTGACAAGTCCCCTGGATTCTCTGTTCAGAGACAGTCTGTCTCTGAGCATTTTAGATTGGAAGTCAGAGCAAGGGGACTTTCTGGACAGATGAGCTTCCTACAGATATCTAGTGACCCTTTGTCACAGTGACAAATGAGTAACTCTGTCCAGACCCACAGGACTGGGGAAATCTTTCCATTATGGTTCTGTACCCCTCATCCTACAGTTTTTAACAGATTTTTATGTAGCTCCTTCTTGCCAGGAATTCTAAAACTGAGTCAAGCTGTAAGTAGCTATACTGCAGCTTAGAAACAGGAGCCAGAATCCTTCTAAGCAGAATTTCTTATCCACAATATCAGTATCTCAGATTCTTATCACAGAAACGCAAAGCTTTCAGTCCTGCAATCTGTCCTTTCTCCTCCCTGCTCTTAGGTAGGGATTATCACTTTATGAGATATTAATTTTAAGGACTATCATCTGCAATGCACCTAACCTCCAACATTTGACATTAACATAATGTTCTGCTATGCATAATTGCCTATATTTACAAAGTAATCCACACAGAGGAAGAAATTCTGACCATATATATTTAATTATGAGCTCTAGAGGGAGATAATTCTCACCATATATATAAAATTATGAGGTCTAGAGTAGTCAAGAGTACTTGGAAAAAATCCTGGATCCTGGATTTAGGCAAAGTTATCTACTAGATGATCTTTTGAGACACCTTCCAATCCTGCTTTTCTGAAAAAGTGTGTATTTCTCAGAATATATGAACACAACAGCATTTTAAAAGCAAAAAGAATAATAAAGATGAGCTGAATAAAAATCAAAAGCAAGGCAGGAGAATGTCATTATGATGCAACATAAATCCACAGTGTACCCACAATGTGCATGTAGTTCTGGTGCTTCTGTGTTCAAAGGTATGTAGTACAACTATACGTAGGTAAAAAAGATGAGCAGAGATCTGGAACAGCTTTCATACTAGAAGATTGTCTTGGAAAAGATGTAACAAGTTAAATAGTTTTAAAAATGCATAAGTAGCATTGAGAAAATGATGGCAAATTTGTTCACTGGTTTCATAGCTCAAGAATGAAATTATGAGGAAGTAGGTTTAAAATGTACAAAGTAATAATGAGGCTTAATGAGGAAAACCAGGTTGTAATATTACTGTAATAATAAATGCAAGTAAGATCAAAGGTCATTCTTTAAACTCATTCATGCAAGACAAAATCACTGTGGTTAGAACCCCTGGGTGTCTAAAAAGCATAATAAGCTAAATGCTTACACTGGTGGCTGCAGAAGCTGGGAGGACAAAACTTGGGGACAATTCATTCCATGTATTCTGTATTCCTTGTCTATTTTTGTAAAAATCCAGTAAGAGAAACTGAAAGAGATGGGACCAGGCTATAGGGATCTCTGGACTGGCTTGGAGTGGCTGGTTTTACGCTTTTAAGAGTGCCAATCTCAATGTTTGTCTCCATTGCTGCAGTAAGTTCGTTACAGTGTGGCGCAAAACATCATCTGAGAGGGCTGAGTTGATTTAAAATTGGCTTTAAAATCAGCTTTCATGTTAAAAAAATATTCTTAGCATGCTTAAATCCTCTTTAGAGAGGACTACAGTGTGAATTAGCATACACAGAAGGTTTACTGGAACAGATTACTAGGAGGATAAGAGGTTGGTGGCCAGGATTAGCATCCCTTCTTCATTTAGCTCTTGTTGCAGCAGCGTTTGCAATCATACATCACGTCATGCAGGTGCTGCATCATGGACACACAACCCTCTCGATAAATCAGAGCTGTGTCTGTGAGACAGTGAACTAGAGAAAAAAAAAACAACAAGACTCAGATGCCTTCTTTTTCTTAATTTGGGAACACGAGGCATTTTTCTGCCTCAATTTCCCGTAGGGTGAAAGGAATGAAATGTGAAAAATACCTGATCTGATCCATTTTGGGCCATGAGTTAGGAAGTACTATCCCATTTTACAAACTGAAACCTATGGAATTAAACTAAGCAACTTCCTTGAAGTTAAAAAGTCTTGTTGTGACAAGAATTAAATCTGGGTCTCCCACATCACAACTTTATGCCCTAATCCTGGTCACATTTCTAATGTGCATATTCCTGGCTATTCAGAAATACAGGATGTACTTGTAGCAAATAATCTGAGAGATCTGCTTAGAATCATTATTTCTGTCAACAAGGAACAAATTATTCTAGAGAAATTCTCTAAATCAAAGAATTTTGCAGGAATCTCTGGAAAATCTATTTTCAAATAGTGATTAATCATAGAATTTTTCCTCCTCTTCTGCATCCAAATGTCACTCTACTGTTTCCTTGATAACTCTTCCTGTATTTTCTTTCTTTTCCTCCCTCCTTTGAAATAGTGTTTTTGCTCAAGATTCTTTTCTCCTCTGCTTGCCTGTACAAAACACTCTCACTTCTGTGGGTACCCTCTTTCCTTGCTTCACTGCCCCCAGAATTACTTTATGTTTTGGTCTTACCTTCTCCTTATCCACGTTATCTCTCTACCTTTGCTCTATCCTTGATTTATGGTTGGACTCGATGATCTTAAAGGTCTTTTCCAACCAAAATGATTCTGTGATAATTTGCTTATTACTGATCACATCCATGTTACGCTGAAAGAGCAGCCTTTAAAGTAAAAATACTCAGTGAGCATACTGTTTCCTACCCTCTTCCCTTTCTCACTGCTGCAAGAGACACTTTTCAAGCATCTGCAAGTCAGTTTTGCCTGATCATGCCTGATGGCAAGACAACCTGCATAGATATTGCTCTGCTGTAAACAGGGTGTAATGAACCTCAACAGATCTTTAAAATTTACATAGCAGGTAACTCTGACCTTGACAGTAACCAGACAGCACAGACATGGCCATCGCATTATGGCCAAGGACAGTGCCAACTACCACAAGCACTCTCCACTGGAGTCCCACCACATCATCCTACTCTGACAATGGAACCACCTTCTTCCACTGTTCTCCTAGATCTTACCGTAGCATCCTGCCCAGCATAGTGGCTAATAACTCGGCTGCCTCCAGGGTGGTGTTTGGAAAACTTGCTGACATCGTAAACCTTCCTGTCAATCACCAGCCACTGCTCCCGACCTTGGCCATGGCCATTGTGGATTCTGATCTCTTCCCAAGTGAAAAGCTGTGGAAAGGCTGAAACAGGTCGCGTCTCCTTTTCAGTGGAACCAGTCTGTGGAGCCATCTGTACTGGTAGATGTGCAGTCACCACTGAGATTCACTAGTCTAAGCTTTGCAGCACTGTGTCCAGGCAAAGGATGAACCATCTCAGCTTGCTCGTTATACAGTCACACTCCAAGCCACTCCCTATGCTTCTAGGGCTGGTTGGCTCCCGTTGCCCAAACACACCCTTCCATAGCTCCCTCCTCTTCCACATTCACACCAAACACTTCAACACACCCTTGAATAAAAGCTCTGTTCCTTCTTGCCCTTTCTGAGTTGCCTTTGGAAGGTCTCCTGAGAACTGTAGACTACTTCACTGAATACAAATGTGCATATATAGAAAGTCTTAGGAAGATTATCTAGTTTTCAGTTAAATGAGATGGCAGAATGACAGAAAGGACTATTAAATGAGCACCTTGGTAGGGCATTAGGAACTGGATAAAGTAATTTCTTAACTTGCTGAGTCAATATGGGGATTAGCCAGAAGAGAAATCTGAGGAAGGCTGTGGTCAGCTCTTCTGTAGCAAATATTCAGAGAACTTCTTAGGAAACTGAAGCACTTTCAGTATCCTGTTATCCTTTAACTGGTCATTAATATCAGGAAATCCTTAATTTACCATATATTGGAGCTTCATAATGTCATATAGCACCGAAACATAAAGCTGTAAAGGAGCCTGGGTGGAAAGCCCAAAGCTGCTATTAAATATGTTTGCTAACATGTCTCATTTAACTGTAATTCCTGCCTTCAAGGCATGAAGCCAACTTGTACACTCACATAGTGAAAACAGCAGAGTGCTCCAAGGTCTATCTCCACAAGATATCTCTTAACAGTCTCATCACTACCCAAAAACTTCAAGGTGTCCTTGGTCTTTGAAATTTGCCATGTTGACCCTGGCACACTAAGTTCACGTCTTTCTTAACTAAAGCATCGTTGATCAAAATGCCACCAGATCAAGAGTAAAGAAAGAACTCATTAAGAAAACACCCTTTATCTCCAGTTAATTTAGCTTGCACATTGCCAATACTTTGCATACAGTTGTTTTCAGTTTCCTGTGCATACTCCAGTCATTCCATCATCTTACTGTTCACATAATTCATTCATAAGTCAACAACAGACATTAAAAGATTTTGGCACTGAGAATAATAATAATAATAATAGTAACAACAACTATTAACACCAAGTTTGGCTGTAGATTAAGAGTTTCTAAAACTTACATTTAACAGCACTGTTTATATAATTAACCTTACTTAAATATTAGCCTTGGAGAGCCAAAATCTAAATATCTCTGATGCTCAAAGAGGATCTGCTACGCAGTAAAGAGGTAAGAGTTCTCACCTATAATAAACAGCAAAGAGAAGACAATGCCATGTTTCCTATGAAGTCACCTCAATTTTAATGGTGACCCAGAAAAAAACTGAGCCCACATGTATGAAATATTTCCCTACTTGAGATTTAGGATTCTCTTAACCTTGCATTATTATTTTTTTTTTAAATCCAAAATTACTAGCCTTTGGTGGGTTTGAGGAAGGTACAAGCCATAGGCAGAGGAGGTATAGTCTGTCCTCATTAGGTTTCCATGATATCCCTGCAATATTGAGTTAAATCCCAAATCATGAGTTTTCTACCTTACCCCAAACTTTTTATTTATGTTTCTAAATTTATTATGTTTCTAACTACAAATATTGTCTACAATGATGTCCAGTCCCAGTCTGAAACCTAACAAGTTCTAGGTCTCAACTATCTCTATGTGTGAGTTTCACAGAGAATTCACATATTGTGATTCAAAGAAATGTGGTTGTTGTGATGAGCTCTTGATGTTGAGAAGAAATGAAAAAACTTAGTTGAAGTTGCAGATTTTAGGAAAGACAGAAAGATAAGAGAGAAAAACTATGTTCTTGAGCAATGTGCCTCAGCAGGGTGAGGTGAAATTGTGGTTGCGTTCCCTGTCACCCAAGCAGATGGCATGCAGGAAGCATAGGCAAGAGCTGATCAAAGCAGAGATGATTTGATAGGCCTCTGCATCAGGAGAAAGGTACCATTTAATTTAGAATCATAGAATTGTTTCAGTTGGAAAAGATCTTTAAGTCCAGCCATAAACCTTATGCTGCCAAGTCCACCTTTAAACCATGTCTCTAAGCACCATATCTACATGACTTTTAAGTACCTCCAGGGATGGCAACTCCACCACCTCCCTGGGCAGCCTGTTGCTTGACAACCCTTTCAGTGAAGGATTTTTTTCCTAAATTTAATTAATACAGAATAGTTAATTTGATTTCTATAGAATAACTTTATTTTGAAGAGTTTGTCCTTAAGGGACACTGGAATGGAGTTTACAGGATATTTGCGCTATAAGGGATGATGAAGCTTCTCAGCTCACAATTATTTTTCTTAGCTCACTCTGTGCAAGTCTCAGATTGCAAACGCAGTGGTAGATGTGGAGTCTTGGGTTTTGTCTTCCTTGTGGTTCCCAGTGAATTAACAGTAGCCCAAAACCAGTTGGGTAGAGACAGCTGAAACCTCACATAGCAGAGACACCTGCCTTGCCCTCAGCCCTACATGGAGTGGGTAGTCTTTCTGGCTGACACAGAACTCTAAATTACGCAATTCTAGTTCTTTAAATCATGTAGCATCTTGCAAATTAATCAGTCAAGTCCAAACCAACCATTGAACAGTTCCTGACATGTGGCAATGGTTGAACCACCTTAGGTAAAAGAGAAACGTGACTATTGGTATTCATTAGTGATAAAAGAATGGGAGGAATAATTTCTACTGTGCTATCAAGTTGTATTTTGTAACCCTTTATCTCACTCTAAACAAAAGCTAAGAGTGTCCCCACAGATGATGTGTTTGTGTTCTAGCCTGGAATATGTGCAGAGTGTTACATAAACCATGTGCAGTAGTTGAGGTGGTGGTAATAAAATATACAACAGCTGTTGCATATTTCTGTGTATGGGGGGGTTTTATATACATGCAAAAAATGTCAAGTGACTCTCTAGCTGGCTGAAAGGACAAAAAACCTTCCCATTCCCCTACATTCAGATGTGGAAACGTAGCTACTACTTGAAAAGGAGTATATAAAAATGTGGGCTTGGATTCTGGTCTACAAGGAGCTGGAGAATATAGAGCCAAGAATATATTGGAGTGAACAAATATGGGATGTCTCTGCCTATACCCACCGTCAGCAATCATCACTTTCACTGTTAACACATGCTGTGGGTGCCAGCATCCACCAAACCACTCTTGTTACTTAGATTAATTAAGTTTGGGAACTCTGAGATAATTGTCACAGAATCACAGAATGGTTGAGGTTGGAAGAGATCTCTGAAGGTCATCTAGTCCAACCACCCTGCTCAAGCAGGGACTCCGAGAGCACATGAACCAGGGAGGGAGATTCTACAACCTCTCTGGGCAGCCTGTCCCAGTGCTCAGTCACCCTCCCAGTAAATAAGTTCTTCCTTATGTTCAGGTGGAACTTCCTGTGCTGCAATTTATGCCCATTGCCTCTTGTCCTATTGTCAGGTGCCAATGAGAAGAGTCTGGCCCCATCCTCTAGACACTCTCCCTTGAGATATTTCTAAACATTAATCAGATCCCCTCTGAGTTGTCTTTTCTCCAGGCTGAACAGGCCCTTCATATGAACAGTGTATTAATGTATTCATGTTTTAATTTATTTAGCATCAGATGGGATATCATACCCATCAATATCACATTACTTTAAAAAGCCTCAAACAAGTCTTTTCCCAAGCTGAAAGCAGAAGCTGTCTCTGTCTGTATTATCCAGGTCACCAAACACATTTCAGAGTTGCATGGAAAAGCCCCAATAGATAGTGAAAGCCACGGTCATGCTCACACAGAGAAACTCTTGGGAAATCAGTTGAAGTGAATTTACACCATACTCAGTGTTCTGCAACATCTACCCACACAGCTGCCAAAATCCACGCTGTACATGTCTGGGAGCTAGTACACGTGCACAGAGCTATTCCACATCCTTACTTTTGTGACTTAAGAGTCTCCTTGTACAGCCACTTGAGATAGTTTTCCAGATTTCCAGAAAGCCAGTACGTGACTGTTGAACTGGCAGTTATTGCATCAACATTTCTACCTCTTAACACATAAATGTTTGTGATTTATGCTTAATCCACTGGAGATAATCTCCAACAGCACATAGTGGTCCAGAAAAAAATCTAGTACTGTGATACTCTGAAGCATCTTGTTTCTAAGAAAATCTCTTGTTCCAGGTAAATCCTCTGAAGTTCTGTGTAGTTTTGTCATACAGGATGCCACCTATGGTTCTTTTGACCACTTTTTCTACAAAAGCTATATTTTGCATGGAGCTTGTGACACGTGCTGTGAAAACACCTACCAAGTGAGTCCCCTGGGCAAGACTAGATGAAGAACATCTACTTCATGAGCTGTACAGTCCCATCCAGAAGAAGAACTTACATCTAAAACAGACAGCTATGGGTTGTACATGTCTCCAGGGTTAGATGTCAACAGTACAGAGTTTGAGAAGCATGACCTTGGAGGGAAGCACCTACAATTACAGCTGCACTTACCTGTGTAGGCAGACCTGAGCCTCTCTGCCCTGCCCTGGTTGGTCTGAAGCAATTCTGGAACAGATTTTGCCTTTGTGGAGGGCTCGTGGATGCTCTGCCCTAAAGTGGCTTTGACCTCTGGTAGGGAGCTCCCACTCCTGTAGACAGAGCCTGTGTTCTGCATGGGTTTCACGGACCCTCATTCAAGACTCTCTCTTCTGTGACTATGATGTGTTTCTTTCAAGACAGACTCTACAAAAGGTGACCATACTTGAAAGGTTTTTTTTTAATACATGGCTTGTGCAACACCAATTAGGAATAACATGGCATAAGCAAGGATTGAAACACCCATGGTGGCTCCACAGCCTACACACAGAGCTCTTTCTGTCCTTCCTGTGGGTCTTGGGCCACCTTCCAGCTTCTGCAATATATGATCCTGTAACAACTTGCCTCCTGTGCTATTCAACTATAATTCAATTCTCTGAC